AAGCATCATTTCAAAATAGTTAAAAACAATACAAACTGTACCATTATATAAATTAAGATAAAACAGTATCATAATGATATAAAACATCCAATAGATAGCACAACATATTGCGGCAAAACAAAGATTAATAGTAAATATATTGTTGACACTATGAAAGCGACGAAGAAATATAATAGGAATTGAATAAATCAAAGCCAATATAATAGTAAATATAAGAAGAATGAGTTGGATAATATTCAAAACACTTATTTCACTCATTATGTTTCAATACAATAAAGATTACAAAAACAGTAGATTGTATGAAAAAACTTTTTTATACTATAGTGAACAACTAAATGATGAAATAATATGATAAGTGAAATGAATAAATGCACATTAGCAAACTTGAAAAGAGTGGAGATGAAGAAGCGCTCATTAACATTACAATTCTCATCAAACAAAAAAAAGAATGTAATAAATTTATTTTTCTTCTGCCTAGATTTAGTGTTGAAAGATGTAATCATCAAAGAAGTTACGGATATATTTTTGATGAACAAAATCATTGAACTGCATATTTCAAATAAAATGAGATTAATCACGTATTTTGTAATTAACTGAAAAAATTGAGAAACGCAATATCTATTTTGAATAAAGTGACGACATTATATTTAATGAATTAAAAAGGAAAGCGTATAATTTAGATATATATTTTCCAAGTTCCAGTGAGGTGTTGAAATGTCGACAATAAAAATGTCGAATGAAGGATGTCGACAAGCAAAATATTCACTTAAAAAGATTTAGAAACTTCGATTTTAATGTAAAATAATAACACGTCACAGCCTGGTGTATTTTCGTCTCCTTTTTTCTCTCTCTTTGTGTGTAATGTAGAGGGTGTATGTGATACTCTTTTTCTCACATAAGACCACACCGTTTACTTAAAATCACAAATATGAACTGATATTATTATTAAGTAGTTGTATTTTGCTGAATTAGTTTAAAGTACTCAGAATTAATGAGTCAGTCGTTCTAAAAAATTATTATCGTTATTTCAAATATTTTTATGTAACTATAAATGAATATAAATTAATATTACATCAACAATTAAAAAGTAAAATAAAACACTTGTTTTCAATGACGATGAAATATCTTCTCACGAAAATATCGTCGTAGTTCATGATTATATAAATATAGATTACTTATAACAGCTAATAAAGATAATATAGCTAATAAAATAAACACTGGACCGATTATCGAACTAAAAGTGGTATCATAAATGATTGCTGAGTATAAATAAATTGGACTCCATCCTAAAATAATTATACAAAACATCACAATCATATGTCGAAGTAAATGTAAATCACGACGACTAAGATGTTGACGTTGGTGTGCAGTATTCTTTGCATTTTCTAATGATGTTTGAACACGATTTGTTGAAGAACGAACATACTTGAAAATCATTATATTATTCATCAAGCATATTATTGATGGAATAATTACAATAATTATAAATTTATAAATTGCTTTCCATAATTGATCATCACAACTCTATAACAAGATCATCTTTTTATTTTAAAAATCAATCAATCGATTCAAATAACTTACTGAATCATTAAATGGAAGATCTGGTAATGAAAGAATGATACCAACTGCCCATTGACCCATAACAAATATTATTGTCCATTTTTTTGTTCTTAAAAAGGGTTTTGTATGATACACTATTGAACACAGACGATTAACTGATGCTCCAACTATAGCAAGTGATACTTGTAGATTGCACATCATTTCAAAATAGGTTGCAACAATACATACTTTACCATTATATGAACTATTAGCATAAAATATTTCCATAATAATAAGAAAAGTCCAGAACATAGCACAACACAGTGCAGCGAAACAAAGATTAACAGTGATTATATTATTGACAGTATGAAAACGACGAAGAAATATAATTGGAATTAAATAAATTAACGCCAATATAATAGTAAATACAAGAACAATGATTGAAATGACATTCACAATACCTATATAACTCATTATGTTTCAATAAAATAAAAATTACAAAAACAGTAGATTGTATGAAAAGTTTTTTTATGCTATAGTGAACAACTAAATGAAGAATAATATGATAAGTGAAATGAATAAATGCACATTAACAATCTTGAAAAGAGTGGTAATGAGGATGTACTCATGAACTTCACAATTCTTATCACAGGGAAGAAAGAATGCGGTAAGCTTATTTTTCCTCTGTCTAGGTTTGTTATGGCATGATGTAATCATCGAAGAAGGTATAAATAGACTCTTTATGAGTAAGGTCACTGAACTGCATGTTTAGAGTAAAATGAGATTGATCACGTAACTTGTAATAAAATGACAAAGTTGAGAAACTCAATGTCTGTTTAGAATAAAGTAAAAGAGAAAGAGCATAATTTAGATGTGTAGTTTTCATTTTTCACTATTATGTTTTCGAAAAACAGAAATGTTCTCTGATGGTTTCTACGTGAAAAGTGAAGTTTACTTTGTTAAGCATAGATGCTTTTATACATTATTGTGAAGATATATCCAAGAAGAAGAAGGTCTTCTGTTTAGTGGCGAGCTCTCTCTCATAAATTGTTAAATAAAAATAAAAGTTTGAATTGTGCTTGATATTGTTGTAAGAAAACATGATTTTAACGGTAACTTTGTCAAGGGATATGTTTTTCATATGTTTCCTTGTCGAGTATAAGTAAAGCTTGAATAAAGAGATCATTTTTCTTATTTGCAAGCAGTATATTTAGATATACGTATAGAGAGGAAAGAGAGGGTGTGCGAAGCAATGTGGGTAATACTCTTTTCCTCGCAAACACATGCACCCACATCACGCCCTTTATTTCAAATAACAAAAAAGAATGGATATTACTATCAAGTAGTTGTATTCTACTCAACTAGTTTAAAGTTCTCATGATTAACAAGTTAATCGTTCAAAAAATTTATCATTCTTATCTGAATCATTTTCGTTCAACTATAAATGAACATAAAATAAAATTACATCAACAATTAAAAAGTAAAATAAAATAGTTTTTATTTTTAATGACCATGATATATTTTCTCTCGATAATATCGTCGTAATTCATGATTATACAAAAATAGATTACTTATAACAACCAATACAGATAATAGAGCTGATATAATAAACATTGAAAGTATTATTGAACTAAAAGAGAATTGAACAGCAATAATTGCATATAAATAAATCGGACTCCACCCTACAACAAATATGCAAAACATAACAATCATATGTCGAAGTAAATGTAAATCACGACGACTAAGATGTTGACGTTGCTGTGCGTTATTCTTTGCACCTTCTAATGATGTTTGAATACGATTTGTTGAAGAACGAGCATACTTGAAAATCATCATATTATTCATCAAGCAGATTATTGATGGAATAATTACAACCATCACATATTTATAAATTCTTTTCCATAATTGTTGATCACAATTCTATAACAAAATCATCTTTTTATTTTAACAATGAATCAATCGATTTAAGTGACTTACTGATTGATTAAATAAAATAATTGGTATTGTAAGAACAATACCAAAAGCCCACTGAGTTGCAATGGATATTATTGCCCATCTTTTTGTATTTAAATAGAGTTTTGTATGATAAACTATTGAACACAGACGATTAAATGATGCTTCAACTATAGTAAATGACAGTTGTACCTCAAGCATCATTTCAAAGTAGCTAAGAATAATACAAACTTTACCATTATACAAAACGTTAGGATAAAATAATGCCATAATGATATACAACATCCAATAGATAGTACAACATATTGTAGCGAAACAAAGATTAGCAGTGATTATATTGTTGACAGTATGAAAACGACGAATAAATATAATAGGAATTGAATAAATCAATGCTAATAGAATAATAAGTATGATAAGAATGAGTTGGATAACATTCAAAATACCTATTTCACTCATTATGTTTCAATAAAATAAAGATGACAAAAAACAGCAGATTGTATGAAAATCTTTTTTTATATTATAGTGAACAACTAACGAGTGAATAAAATGATAAGTGAGATGAATAGATGCACATTAAGTCTTCAAAAAAGAGTGTAAATGAAGATGCGCTCATTAACATTATAATTCTTATCACAGGAAAAAAAAGAATGCGGTAACTTCATTTTTGTTCTGTCTAGGTTTGTTATTGCATGATGTAATCATCGAAGAAGATATAAATAGGCTCTTGATGAATCAGATCATCGAACTGCATGTTTGAAGTGAAATGTGATTAATCATCTCTTTTGTAATTAAGTGAAAAAAATTGAGAAACGCAATATCTATATACAATAGAGTAAAAGAGAAAGAGCATAACTTAGATATATATATTTTCTAAGTTTCACTATTATATTTATATTCTTGAAAAACAAAGAAACTCTCTAATGGTTTCTACGTGAAAAAAGGAATATACTTTGTTAAGCAGAGATGCTTTTATACATTATTGTGAAGATATACGCAAGAAGAAGAAGGTCTGATGTTTAATGTCAAAGTCTCTCTCATAAATTGTTATATAAAAATAAAAGTTTAACTTATCGAGAATAAGTAAAATCAAAAGAAGGAGATCATTGTTCTTACTTGTAAGCACTATATTTAAATATAGGTATAGAGATGAAAGAGGGAAAATGTAATGGTATAAAACTGTAAGAAAAATAGTATTGTGATGTACGTAAGTTAGGCGTGTGCAAATTCATTGTTATTGAGCTATTTTTATTGATACAATAAGTGAATCACCTGTTATTGAAAATTGTTTTTATATGAAGAAGATTGTGTTTGGTTGAAACAAGCAAAAAGAATTAATGAAACTAAACAAATATTCGAAAAACAAAGAGGTATAAATAATATTTAGAAAAAGATTCATTTAATATAAAATATAACGAAAACACATAAAATAGGAAATTAAATTAGACTCCATTGTACGTCGATGTGTATCAACGGATGATTCATAATTTTATTAAATGACGTCGATGGTGTTTTGACGAAGGAAGTAGCTGTGCAATATGAAGGACATACAATGCTGTAAGAAATATTAGTAATTTTCATCAGCTGATGATCATGGCTTTTATTTTTTGTTAGTTAATAGGAAAAATTGATCAGATATATACAATCATATGATCAAACGATTACTCATTCGATACATGCAAATACTTGGATTGAAGGAAAAAAAACAACTTGTATGATTTTTTTATTTATCATTGATTCATCAAAGATTCCAACAAATTACATAGATTGTATCGCTCTTTGTTTCCTCGGGCGTCATCGTTACTCTAAACTTCGTTTAATATTTAAAAAAATATTTTCCCCCTCAATAAATCATAGACCTTTCGTATGACTAATATACATACGCCACGTCTCTAATTATATTGTTTATTCGAGCGTAGTTCCTAATTACGTCAGTACACAAGTATAAATATGTAATCGATATGTATACATTCTGTCTCACCTGTATATATAATAACTGAGTCACATTCAGTCGGTCTTTTTTCTTACATACTATCATTTTGAATCGATCGTCATTCAAGTTATAATGTGGAATTTTCGTCTTCTTATTATCTTCAG